TAGAAAACTTTCTAGCTTGACAGAACCTGCTAGAGTTGTATTCTATTTGGAGAAGTCAGGATGGATCATGACCACAAACCCCACAGAAAAAAGTAGGACTTTAGTGGAGGAATTAAATTGGCCCTAAATGATTTACTCAGTTTAGTTAAAAATTATCAATACATTCTAGGCATCCCTGGATAAAACAATGAGTAACAACATTTCCAGTTAATGACATCTCTACAGCTTAGACAATATTTTGTATTTGAAAACAGCTAATGGTTTAAAGGTAAATTTACAACATTATAAAGAAATGTATTGTATCCATGTTCTTCTGTCTCCAAATGACCATAACATTACAACTAATAGAGGAAACTAAACATCTAAGAGGGTACTAAGAAATTCTAGTCACAAACTTGGAACCATATACACGGTTTATTCTAAGAAAATATAAAAGGTACAGTATATTCAGTCATTTAGAAAAAAACAAAACCCAAAACCCAAACCCCACAATACTCCAAATTACCATAATATCATAACTGAAACAATATCCAAGACAGTACAAAGAAATCCTAATTTCACACTTGGAAGCTGCATAGATACAAAAGTTTGATCTAAGAAAATGTAAGAGAAGTTTAAAACCAAGAGATATGATATTTTCAACCGTTTGGAGGAAAAAAAGCATCCTGACTGAGATAAAAATGAAGTTCAAACAAAAACATAATGGACTAAATTCAAACCTCACTGGAATAGAACATAACATTTCCATATGGTTTCCCCAAAAGATTAAAAAAAGGAAAAATACGTCCTTTAAAGTATTTTTTGAAGATAAAGGACAAAAAGTTCATACAAGATTCCATTTTTTCTTCAAATGTAAAAGCTAAGTACTAGAAACAGATAGAGTACCTAATTTTGTGAAACTCAGTATTTCTCCGAAGTTACTATTAGTCTATATAACATTTAACAGGTAATAAAACCTTCTATGTTACATAATGTGAAACAGCCATTTTCAAATCTTAGAGGACTTCTAGGTTCCAAGTATAAGATCAAGGTCAGAAACTGATCATATGCTGGCAGGTTAGTGTAGGCTAAAAGCCAACATACTCCACCAGAAACCAATTTAGGGGCTTATGCTAAGGATCAAATAATCTGTGATTTTACTCGTAAACAAAAACCAACCCTCATATGAAAGTCACTCAACTTGATGGTTTCTAACCAGAGTGAAAACAAACATTTAATTACTTCAGAACAAAACAGCCTTGAAGATTTAGGTCACATAACAAGTAGCCTCAGAAGCACTCCAGAAAAGCACCTTCCAACAAAGTAAAAGAGACTAAACACAGATCAAAATCTGAACTAAAGTACAGCCAGGTACCTTGTATAATAAAATCAGTTTCATGGAGGGGCTCACATACAAAAAATGCTTCTTCTGATACACACTAAAACGTCTATAGAAATAATTTTAGTTCAATGAGTATATTAGTTATAATAATTGGGTTACAAAAAAAATACTCACTTGAGTGGATGCATCATGTCCTCACCTCTTCTTCTACCATTTCGACTTCTATTTTGATTACCCATAAAACTGAACAATCCTCCACCAAAAATGTGAGAAAAAATATCATCCATGCCACTGCCTCCACCACTACCTTCTCGAAGGCCTTGTTCTCCATATCGATCATATAACTCCCGTTTCTCAAGGTCTGATAAAACTTCATATGCAAAACTTATTTCTTTGAACTACAAAAGAAAATAAAAACAAAATGAATTTTAGTGCTGGACTAGAAAGGTAGATCCTCCAACTTTTTTCAGGGCTCTCTATATTTTATCTGTTTTCTCAGTCTTCTAGAAGAAAAAAAACCCCAACACAACCAACTCTCCATTATTCATGGTAATAAGGATTAAATGCTAAAAATATTTTCATTTTGCTTTATATTTTCCCATTGCAGCAAAATGACCCTCTCAATTATATTTTGCTTTGGCTAACATTAAAATCTGTTTATATTACTGTCTAACCCACACACTGACAGAAGTGGTATAGCAATCAACCTCTAATTAAAAACCTGCTGCAGTGTATCCAAATATTGTTAATCAAAATTTATAGCATGCAGAACTGGAAATAATCTTATAGCATGCAGAACGGAAATAATCTAAGTCATCTAACCCAAGCCTGTTATTTTACATGAGGAAACTAAGCCCCAGAAAACTTAAGTGACTCACTCAAGGTCACACATCTAAGTCTTTCCATTATACTATAATGTGTCTTTCTGTATTTTTGCTTGTGCTGTTTCTCATTTTAGGAACTGTCTTTCCCCACCCACCAAATTACTGACCAACCATTTAATGTCCAAAGCAAATATCAACCCCTTATGGAAAATTTCCATAATTCCTTCCCTTCAGTAATTACCTTCACCCCAACTCAGACCTAATATGACTCTTTGCTTGAAATTCTCATGTACTTATCATTATTTTATTTTAGGTATTTTTTGTGTGCTGCCCCATAGACTGTAAATGTCCTAAGGACAGGGACATTTACCTTATGAAGATAACTTGGGGGGGAAAGCAAGAGTCATTAATGTATACAATACCTCCAAAACAGTCTTAAAGTCTCAAGTAACAGAAGCTACAATTTTTTAGACTAATTATTACTAGTCTTAAACCTCCTTCAACCCTTAATGGGACCTAGTTTTGTTAGCATAAATAAGAAAAGATTTCTTTTCAAAAGGAGCACAACCAATCTAAGTTTAAAAGCTAAACACCTTGGAAGATAAAGACAAAATCCCAAATATCTAAAACTTACTTTGTCCCCTGCGTTTGGATTCTTATCAGGGTGGTATTCCTTGGCCAACTTTCTATAAGCCTTGGAGAAAGGACAACACAAAGTTATTGGAATGAATAGTTAAGATTATTTTAACTTGCACTTTTTTTGAGGAAGAATTTTAAGTAAAAAAAATCCACTAAGCTTATATTCTAAAGATATACCTCTTTTCCACTAGGATACTTATTTAATTTAATAATTTCAGTTTCAATATAATTTGCTTATGTAACCAAAATACCCCACAGTTACAATTACTGTTGGAGTGAAGAGTTAAAAAATGAGATACAAATAATACATCGAGAAGAAAATATAATGGAACATTGTTTCAGTCTCTCAATTATTCCTAAGCGCTTCATTGAAAAGGATCACAAAAAAAAGTTTCCAATCATTTACATAAGTGCTAGTAGTTAATGAATATTCAGAACGGATTGTAAATAGGCTCAAGCAGATGTCCAAAGCGCTGCCTCGAGCGCCGCCCCCCCCCCCATACCAGGAACAGGGCAAAACGAAAGTACTAAACAGGTTTACAACTCGTTTTCATACAGGAATGCTCAGGGTAATTAAATGATATTGTGATCTTCGGCTTGGTAGAATTCGAAATACATACTAAACTATATGGTTAAACATTTTACTAAAGCTTTCACGCAGAGAAATGAATTATATAATAGTAAATCACTTCCGGTAAGGTGACAGGAAGCCCATTTTCACAGATTTCACTCCCAGCAGTCCTCAGCCTCACTGCCTAGGGCAATTCCATTTCAGCCAGCTCACAAATTTTGATTCTACGTCCAGAAGATGCTGTGAGGACTAATTAAATATCTTAAGTGCTCTGAAATTCTCAGATGAAAGACTGCAGCACTACAAGGAAGTAATGAGGTTTTCCATTTCTTTTTTTAGTGAGGGCTTCAAGTGTTTACTTCAGAACAAGTGCTAATTTCATACCAGTAGAACCAACAATTTGAATGACCAGGCTTCACAACAATGCACCCCAACGTGCCCATGTGCTACGCCCCGGTTTAGTCACCCATGCCGATGAGGCACTGCATGTTACGAAGCAGCAACATCATCCATGAAAACAGTTCTCACATCATTCACAGCTGCTCCAATGTCAGGAGGAGCTTGGGGCCAGCTGCTGCCAGGAGCCTTTTCCTAGCACCAGACCTGAAGTCCTCAGCCCTCAGAACTGGGAGAGGGGAAAAGGCCACTGATGACACGGTGGAAAGATCCTTTCCCACCTAGCTTTCTCCTTCGTCCCAATGCACACACCCCTTTTATCTGTGGCTGCTTTAGTAAGGAGCAGTTAAAGACCCGGCCGAGGATGCACCCCTGTGCGTTGGTTCAACCTGTTTTTCCAGGGGTGGTGACCTCGGCACCGGGATGCGAGGGAGGTGGGGCGGCTCTTGGGGCCGGCCACAGGGCGGCGGTTTCAGTGCCTGCGCCTCGGGGGTGTTCCATGTTTAGGGGAAGGTAAAGTCTGAAAAAGCGAGTGGGAGGCCCCAGGACGGCTCCCCGGGGAGCCCCGGCCTGCATTTCCGCCCGGCATCGCTGCTCCCAAGGTCAGCGGGATGAGCTGGATCTGGGGGGGTGGGGGGGGGTGGGAGGGGAGAGAGGCACCGGTTCGGCGGCGGCAGGAAGCCGGAGGAGGAAGGGAGCCGCCTGGAGGCCGAGGCCCGGGCGCCGCATGTGGGCCCCTGCCAGGCCTGCTCCGCTTCCCCCGGCAGGCCCCAGCGCGGCCTCAAGGCCCGGACGCTGTAGAAGTCCTCGCGCCGCCGAGCCGCTCTCCTAGCCTGGGCTGCCCAGCCCTGAGCCTGCCCCGCGCCTGGGCTCGAGCCCGGGTCCCGGCCCCGCGCCGCCCGCCCGCCCGCCCGCCGGCCGGCCCCGCGCCGCACCGCTCGCGCATGCAGCTACCTTCTTCAGCTCGTTCTCGCTGGCGCCTGGAGGGACCCCGAGGATGTCGTAGAGCTTCGTATCGGCCACGTTCGCCATCGCGGGGCAGAGGGCGGGAGACGGCAGAAAGCGGCGGTGAACCCGGGCCCTCGAGAGGCGGCAGCCGCGGCGGCTGAGAAGAAGGAGAAACGAGAGGAGGAGGAGGGAAGAAGAGGGGCTGAACCCTGACCCCACGTACAACGTCGGAAGCCAGCTCCGCCCCCTCGGTCCGGGACACAGAGGCGCAGCCGAGCCCCTCCCATAGCGGAGACGGTTGGGCCCGGCAGTTGGAGGGCTAGCTCCTGGGGCGGGGAGGGAGAGCCGGCATGTGTGGGGCACTGGGGCCTCTGGGCTAGAAGCCGAAAATGTCACCGAGGATTCTGGTTGTTTGTTTGTTTGCTTTTGGGGCCTGCAAAGAAAAAACTGGGAAAAACTTGACAGTGTCTTTAGAGCTCCCCTCACACTTGGAAATCCTTTCAGTCACGCTTCAAGAGAGCTGCGGGGGACTTTGGAAACCGTCTAGACCTGATCTCTCGATTTACAGATAGGGAAACTGAGGCTTGGAGGAGGGCAGTGTTTGACCCTTCCTGGAATCCTCCAGGTTGTGGTTTATTGCGGTTGGAAGGTATCTTAGGGATGCCCCTCATTTTTACTGTCTTCCAGACCTGTGACTTTATCCATGTGGGGACATCACTGATTAGCAATGGCAACTCTCCTCTAGCTTGTAGTCGAGGATTAGTTGCCATGGCCCCAGTTTGTGTGAAAGGCAGCACTTGAACCTTGGTCTTCCTGATTCCAGAGGCAGCCCTTTACTCACTAGTCCACGCCCTCTCTTTTACTGTCGTACCTCCTTGCGGTCTCAAGTTGTAAATCACTTCTTGTTCATTTTAATTTTTTAATGGACTGCTTTTGTTTATTTGCTGCCCTTTCCCCACCCCTGATGAGGCTGTTTTGTTCATCTCTTGCCTTATGGGACGCCCCTGTTTCATTATCTAGTTGGGGGTTTCCTCAATCCTTTCTCACACTGGGCACCTCCTTTCCCTCCTCCCACACTTAAGCCTCACCGTTTTGTAGTCTTCTTTTTCTCATCTCCACCCTCCCCCCCCAAAAATCTTTTTGTGTCTTAATGTCTTGTTCTCAGAACCTCCTGGCTAAGTTAGTTTCTATGTCTTTCTCACTACCTTTCAGATTGAATAGAGATGGATGTTGTTTTCTATTGGACTTAGTTTTGCTCAGTTTTTGAAAGGTGCCCCCCCCAGCTGTATATTGACTCAGTTTTACCTGCGTTCAGAAAGTATGAGGAAGTTACTTTCTCAATTCTAAAATTATTGGTTTCCTAACTCTAAAACATGTCCATAACTTCAGGGTGTTACAGGTAATATAGTTTTCTCCTTTGTGTCATTGTAGCCTGCTTGGTTATCTGTGAATAATATGCCAGCAATCTTTGTCTTAGAATATTGAGGCCCAGTTTGTCTCCTTTTGAATTATAGACACTGTAATTCCACTTCAGTTAAACCCATGTTGCCTGTTGATTACCCTGTACCAAGTCAAAGCCATTTATGCACTAACCACTAAACTTTTTCAACTATTTACTTTTTGTCTTGAGGTACCTCATCCTTTTTAGCTCCAAATTTAGCCTGTGCAATTAAAAAGAAAGGCCTTTATCTCACTTGGTTTCTTGCATTGTAAAATGCTGAGTCACAGTGCAGCTGAAGGCTGGATAGTTCAGCAAGTGATTTAAAGTTCAAGTTTAGAGTCATTTCCAATTTCTACCAGGTTTATTTTGTTGCTTCATTTCTTTATGTATTTATTTAGGGGATGGGAAAGGAAAAAGAAGGACATTGCCACATTTGCAAAATGTTTACTTATAGGTTTAGTCCTGAAGCAGTTAGTGCTGAAACATTTAGTTACTTAAAGGAATTTTATATACCTACACCCAATTAGTCCTAGACTGGAAATATTGCCTTTTGTATTTCAGCAACAATTCAGAGATAAGGACAAGGAAACTGAGGCACTTATCTAGTATCACACAGCTAATAAATCTTTGGAGCTAGATTTGAACTCAGGTCCTCCTGATTCTATGCCAATTTCAATGCCTAGCTGTGTGTGCTCTGTCTCTTCTCTTTCTTTCCCTCTCTACCTACCTCCTTGTCTAATCCTGTGATAAAACCACCTATTTACTTAACAGCTAGGCAATTAGCTAGTATTTTTAAAATACTATGCTGGTATCTAGCTATATATTTATTTTTATCAAATGAGAAAATTTATGTATAAAGCTTTGCAAATCTTAAAGCAACAAATAAATTAAGTTTTCATACCAAATTATTATGATAACTTTTTAAAAAAATGCAGTATGGAAGGGGGTTTTTGTCCTGAGTGTGGCAAGACTGTTGATCCAAGGCTGTGTATTCTACCCTGAATGGGAAAGACAGAACAATATACTTCTTTTCTCTCTTGGCCACACTAAACTAGCATTGAGGCAGAAGTTACTTTGGCAATGCCAACTCAGAAAAAGAATGTGAAAATAATAGGCAATGACAATGATTGAGCTTATGTTTCAATAGCTAAATTTGAACGAAGATTAAACTGAAGCTAACTTCTTATAGGCATTAGGTTCTAAAAAGCTCTTTTATTTCTAATATGATACCAGATCTGTTTGCCTGAAGGCCAATTAATCGTATATGCTTCAGTTTACTCTTATTAAAGTACTAGATTTATGATCCTAACCAATTTTCTAAATAGAAATGAAGAAACTTTTTGGTTGTATCAATACTTAACTTGAAGAGTATGTTAGGTAGCTGTTTGAGAACAAAATTTTTGGAAGCAGCTAGGTGGCACAGTGGATAAAGCACTGGCCCTGAAGTCAGGATGAACCTGACTTAAAAGTGCCTTAAAAAAGAGAAAGAATGAAATTTTTTCCTATATAATAATATTAATCTTAATAAAACCAAGCCGAAATTGCTGGCCACAGAATCTCAGACTATCTACTAAAGAATAAAAGGTTGTGGTGTGGTGGTTGTGATTTGATGATTGAAGGAATTACCCATACTTAAAATCATGGATCCTTGGAGTCTTGAATTAAGAAGGAAAACATCAGTCTATAAATTTAAGACTATGTTTATGAAAAGTATGTCAAACTTCTTGTTTGCAAAGGCAAAGTTGACAAAGTTGAAAATGCCTTAAGAAGAGTTACTGACTTTTCAACTTTTAAGAGATCATATTCTTTCCCCTTATATAATTTTCCAAGTCTGAATGTTATTTGTCTTTAACAGTTTGATTTTAAAATAACTTGATTCATTCTAAAGAAAATTTCAAATTTCCTTTCAGTCAATCAATGAGCATTTGTTAAGCATCTGCTATGTGCCAGTAGGGCAGCCAGGTGGCACAGTGGATAGAGCACTGGGCTTGGAATCAGGAAGACTCATCTTTCTGAGTTCAAATGTGGCCTCAGACACCTGCTAGCTGTTTGACTCTGGGCAAGTCACTTCACCCTGTTTGCTTCAGTTACTTATCTGTAAAATAAGCAGGAGAAAGAAATGGCAAATCCTTCCAGTATTTTTGCCAAGAAAACCACAAATGTGGTTAACAACTGAAAATGACTGAACAACAACATGTGCCCAGCATTGTGCTGGACTGAGGCTATAAAAACAGTCCAAAGAGATTCCCTGCACTTAAGAAGCTTACAATTTAATAAAGGAACCAACATGCAAACAAATATAAAGCAAGCTATGTAGAAGTTTAATAGGAAATAATTAAGAGAGGGAAGGCACCAGAATTAAGAGGGGTTGGGAAAGGCTTCTCATAGGAAGATAGGGAAGTTAGTAGTCAGAGTGGAGGAGGGAGAGCATTCCAGGCATGGGGCACAGCCAGAGAAAATGCCTGGTGCTGAGATATGGAGTGTCTTGTTAGTGGAACAGCCAGGAGGCCAAAGAATACCTGGGATGGGGAGTAGGGAGCAGGGAGTAAGTTGTAAGAAGACAGAAAAGATAGTAGAGGCCAAAGTTATGAAGATCTTTGAATGCCAAACCGCATTTCCAACTAGAAGGAATTAACTTTTAAGACTCGTTCTGGAACCATATTAGATCCTGATGGTAGAATAATTTATAATCAACAGTCATTTATTGAACACCTACTATGTACCAGGCAGTGTGCTAGGCTCTGAGGATCTGTTCAGTCGTTTCAGTCACAGCCCACTTTGCATAACCCTGTTGGGGGGTTTTCTCTGCAAAAGATACTAGAGTGGCTTACCATTTCCTTCTCCACTTCATTTTACAAATGAGGAAATGGAGGCAAACAGGGTTAAGTGTCTTGCCCAGGGTCGCACAGCTACTAAGTGTCTGAGGCCAGATTTGAACTCATGTCTTCCTGACTGTAGGCAGATCACTTTAGCTACTCTTCCAACTAGCTGCCCTCACGCTCTGAGGATACAAAGACTAAAATGGAGACAACATACATACAATGTAGTATATACAAAATAAATATAAAACAAGTTTTTTAGGAGAAGGCACTTGGAACAAGGGGGATCAAAAAAGGTTTCATGTAGTATAAGTATACTACATTGAGTATATCGAATCATTGAGTATAAGGAAGTAAGGGATTCTAAGAGGCAGAGATAAGGAAGGGAAGCATTCTGGTATGGGGGCTATGCAGCACAAAGACAGAGACTGGAAATAGAATATGATGTGAGGAACATTAAGAAGGCCAGTTTGCCTTGACTGAAGAGTGGGACGGTGAAAGTCATAGAGCCAGAAACATATATTGGGGCCAGGTTGTAAATTGCTTTAAAAGCTATCTGGAGGAGACTATTTGATCCTAAAGGAATAGGGAGCCATTGGAGTTTATTTACTAGGCTCACAGGAAACAATTATCTAGAGTTAATATTCATCAGTGTAAGTTTTTGCTATCTGAGATTTAGGTTATTATTGGCCTTCACTTATGATTTAGAGAAAGATACCTTGAAAATGTAAGAATAGCAGCTTTGAATTACAGTTTCTAGGTTATAGTAATGAAGACATTACTTCAGTTATGACTTCAGCTGGCAAATTTCCTCTACTAAAGAAACATGATTCTCAGGTCCTACTGAAAAGAAAATAGGAAAGGAATCCAGAAATTTCTTCCCTAAGTAGTCATTGGAGATTTCAGTCTTTTCTTCATTAAGAAAGAAAAGTATATTGTCCTGTAATACGTAGTAAAGTCACTCTGTTCTGTGTGTGAGACATTGAAATTATTGTAGCAGTAAGCTTGTGTCTCTTTTGGAAAGAACATTGCACTCTGAGATGTTCTGTTACCAAACTAAAGTGCTCTTTGTGCTTTTTTCAAGTGTTAGCACTTGCTGGATAGCATAATAGGAGGTACTTAACAACTACTTATTGAAACTGAAATGATTTAGATTTAATTGAGCTACTAATTTTTTTTTCCTGACAGATAAACTGGGAGGCCAAGACTGGACTCAGATCATCTTCTTGAACAGCTAGAGAATTGTATCTTTAATTCTGGCTATATATGCCTTGGAATACCCTGATTATTTACTTGAACAACCAGAAAAATTATACATTTGTTTTTGGCCATATGTGTTTAGGGGCATATATTTATAGATGGACATCATCTAGTCCCAAACCCACTCATTTTACAGGTGAGGAATCCAGATCCATTTGTCACAGAAGTGCTAAGTAATGGTGTCAGGATTAGAACCCATGTCCCATGACTCCAAATCAAGTGATCTGTTCTTTTATGCTTCATTTCCCACAAAATAGTAAGAGTAGCCTTACCATATCTCTAATGGGGTTAATGAAGTGTTCTTATGTACTCATAGTCTGTCTTTCTCCATACCACTTAGAGTTAGCGTAAATTAACTAGCCCTTAGCAAAACTGTGAAATATGCAGTTTGTCTTTTATCACCCTTTCCCACTAGTGTGCAGTATACCCATTCTATGTTCTGGCACTTGAGGGCTCCTTTAGTGTGGTTCCTTGCCAAAAGCTTCCTACCTTTTCAGACTCTATAATGCCACTATCAAAGTTATTCTTACTTTCCTCTTCTACAAAATGAGGGATGTAGATTAAATTATCCCTCTTTACCTTTCTAGCTCTCAATACTTTGATTCTCTCCCTACTCCATTATGTCAAGACTTTGCTTTCTAAGGTACTTCTTTGAAAGACCCATGCTTAAATGTGGATACTACCTTCAACAATGCAGATTGCAAGATATGCCTTTTCATCTTTTCATCTGTGTCTTCCCATGAATCATCAAGAGGGAACCTACCCAACATACTTTACTCTCCTAACTTTGCTAACCGTATTTTAGCTGCCTTCCCTTACTGTTCCTACAACCACCTTCTCCCATTGGTAAGTTCTTCTTGGAACCTTCACTTTGAAGAAGGGCCTAGACTGGCAATGCTTCACTATATAGACATTTGCAAACATGGAGCACTACTTCACCCTCTTTTCAGTTCCCTTTTATACTTTGTCTTCCCCCATTAGAATGTAGTAAGCTCCTTGAGGGTAGAGGCTGTTCTTCTTTTTGCTTATATTTACGCACATTGCACAGTGCCTGGAACATAGTTAATGCTTAATAAATGCTTCTTGCATTCACTAGGGGCCATTCTCTAGAACTCTCTTATCTTCAAGGTCAATTAGTTTGGCTCGAATAGAATTAACCTATTCCCCCCCCCCCCCGTATTTGTGTCTTTTGCTTATCTTCTGCCAATGTTCTTAAATTTCTTTTTTTTAAAAAATATTTTATTTTCTTAAAATGAAGATCCACCTTATATCCCTTCTATCCCTTCCTATGCCCAATTGAGAAAATAAGAAACCAAAACGACTGTGACAAAATCTACAGTCAAACAAAACAAATCCCTGTATTGACTATGTCCAAAAATACTTATGTCTCAGTCTGTGCTCTGAGTCCATCACCTCTCTGTCAGGAGGCAGGGATATCCTGTTAAATCATGAATCCTCTAGAATTAGAATTAGTCTTGATGATCAGAGTTCCTAAGTCTTCTGAAGTTGATTGCCTTTAGAATATTGTTATAATATAAATTGTTCTTCTCTGTGTCAATTCTTTCAAGTCTTCCTAGTTTCTCAAACCATCACCTTCATCATTTGTTACAGCATAATAGTATTCCATCACATTCAAATACTATGCTTGTTCAACCATTCCACATTTGATGGACATTCCCTCAGTTCCTAATTTTTTTTGCCATCTCAAATAGAACTACTATAAATATTTTTGTACATGTAAATCCTTTTCCTCTTTCTTTGATCTCTTTGAAGTACAGACCTAGTAGTGATATTGTTGCATCAAAGAATATGCACAGTTTAATAATTTTTTGGGCATAGTTCCAAATCATTTTCCAGAATGACCTGACCCATTGACCAGTGGTGCATTGATATCCCTGTTTTTCCATATTTGCTTCAGCATTTGAAATTTTTTTTGGTCAGCTTTAATCTTCTGGTTGTAAAGTGAAACCTTAGAATTACTTTAATTTGATTTTCCCTAATAGTTACTAATTTAAAGCTTTTAAAAACATACCTATTGGTAGTTTTGATTTCTTTTTCTGAAACTGCCTGTTTATATTCTTTTATCATTTTATTAATTGGAGAATGGCTCTTATAAAAATTTGAATCAGTCCTCTAAATATTTTAGAATATCTTAGAGATGTTTCTTTAAGACACCTGTTTCTCTAAGATAAAGGGACCTTTATCTTTATCACAGAAACTTGTTACAAAGATTTCTTCTCATTTACCTGCTTTTCTGATTTTAGCTGTATTGGTTTTGTTTGTGAAAAAAGAAACTTTGAAATTTTGTGCAATCAAAAGTGTTTATTTTACCTTTTGTCAGTCTTGTTTGTTTGGTAATGAACTCTTCCCCTATCTGTAGATCTAACATAATTTTTTCCATGTTCCTCCAATTTCTTTATAGTCTTACTTTCTATGTCTAAGTCCCATATTCATTTGGAGTTTATCTTAATAAACAGTGTGAGATGTCCTAACAGTTAAAAAAAACAACAACACCACATCCAAATACTGGGCCATTATCCAAGTAGCTGAGATTTTTGTTTTATTAAACACAAGACTATTGTGTTTGTTTGCTTGCATAGATTTTCTATTTAATCTATTCCACTGATCAATCTCTTGATTCCTCTGTTTCTTAGCCAGTTCCAAATTATTTCAATTATTACTGCTACGTAGTGCAGTTCTAAATCTGAGACTAAGCTTCTTTCCCACTTTTTAAAAAAATTAATTTCTTTGATTCTCTTGACTTTTTGTTCCACCAAATAAATTTTGTTGTTTTTTCTAGTTTTATCAAGTGATCTTTTGGTAGTTTCATTGGTATGGCACTGAATAAGTAAATTCATAGTTTATGAATAAATAAAAATACTTTAAGTAGTTTTTATTTTCATTTTTATTATATTAAATATATAATATATTTTCATTTTTATTATATTAACTCAACCTACCCATGAGCCTTGTTTTTTTTTTTTTCTGTAGGTGATCTATTAATTCTTTCAAATATAATTTCATTCTGTGTGTTTAGAAGTTCTGGGCAGTTGTTTTCTAGAAATGCGTGGTCTATTAAATGTCAATGTTTACTGAGACACTTGACACTTACTAGCTATGTGACCCTGGGCAAGTCACTTAACCCCATTGTCTAGCAAAAACAAAAAACAAAAAATTAAACAAAAGTCAGTGTTTATTGAGAGGGTGCATCAATGAAGTTTTATTGTGTTTAGGTAAATGGAAGACAGAGTTGGTGATGAGGTCATGAGACACACAAATCTATAGTAGTGAGTGACTTGCTTTTTATGACTCCATTCCTTCCAAGGACTTCCTGCTATGTCTAATAGTCTGTGCCTACTCTGGCTTTAAAGTCACCCAGAATTATAAGCTTGTCCTCTTTTGGCGCCTTGATGATGTGGGTCTTGAGGCGTTCATAAAATTTTTCTTTGACCTCATTAAGATTTGTCATAGTGGGAGCATATGCACTGATGATGGTGGCATGGTGCTTTCCTCCAAGTGCAATTGCAGTGTCATGAGCCTGTCATTCACTCCTTTGGGGAAACAAACAAGCTTGTTGACTAGATTAGTTTTGATTGCAAAACCAACACTTGCAACAAGAGTTATTTGTCTTTCAGGTGTACTGGATTTCATGTTGTCCATAAGCATGTGCACGTTCCGTGTACTGATGATGAGTGGAATCATCTTTGCAAAATCTTTGTATGTTTTTTTGTTTCGACTCCAAAGTAGAATACCTGCCTGCTGTGGTAAGCAGGCCTGGGTTAGATTAGGTGAAGCAGACAATTTTTAGACCACCTTTTCTAGCCCCTTCTTCATGACTGGAGGTGAGCCATGTGGTTCGTAAAAAAGGCTGCTCAGACACCTGGGGACTGCCTAATCCCATTGTTGCTTCAGTCCAGTGAGAAGATGACCCTATCTCTTGGGTTGCCTATGTGCAGGGTTGTGACTACAGCTCCCAATGTATCTACACCTTCTGCTTTGTCACTTGGTCTATAACCACAGGAGTTCAAGGTAGATAAAAATGGTAAAATGGTATGGGTGATGTCTTTTGACTTGCTCATAAATTGGATTTGTGAGGCAGAATTGCACAAAGTCATTGGCCTCATTCTCTCTTCCAGAGTCATTAGAGTCAAGTGGCAAGCAAAATTCAAGACAACTGGCAGTGGCTTGGCATGCAGTGGATGACCTTGGCATTTTTGAGATCTAACCATGCTCACAATGCCTGATTCTGCCAGCTTTATGGACCATTGGACCAAACTGTTCACATCTGCCTATTCTGCTGGGAAAATCTTTACATACTTGGGGTAGACACCCCCCTAACTCATTGATGGATTTGAGGCTAGTTGGTTACCCTCAACCTGCTTTAGTCCATCTGCTGAAATGGTTTTAACAGCTGCAATGCTGCAGCGTTTTGGAGCCACAGGTGAGAGTTGAGTGGCAAGTGGACACCAAAGGTGGAAAGCAACCCTAACACCAGAGGTACTAGTCTTGCCTTAATATCCCATAGACTCCAAGCATTTCTAGCACTATATTGAATAGTAATGGTGATAATGGACATCCTTGCTTTACCCACTGAATTAAAAGGTATGTGGTAAGGAGTGAAGTATAAGAAGACTGGAAAGGTAAGAAGGGGCTAAGGTTATGAAGGGCTTTGAAAGCCAAATGGGTGATTTTGTATTTGATACTGGAGGCAATAGGGAGCCACTGGAGTTTAGCACTAGTACTCTAGGTTTGATGTAATTTACTTCTGTTCCCTTGCCCCTCTTCTCTTTCATTCACTCATAGCCCGATAATAGGTTCATAGATCCTCTTCAAAAGCTACAGTCCCTAGACTCTCCCTAGACCCTGTTGGTCTAGTGGTTAAGATTTGGCACTTTCGCTGCTGAGGACTAGGTTCAATATCCAGTTAGGGAAGCTGTTTGTCTTCATACATTTTGCGCGACTTCACATGTATGACTTGACTTCTCAATTATTTGGGGAGGGGCTGGAGGAAGAAAAGGATTTGGAACTCAAAATTTACAAAAGTGAATATTAAAAATAAATAAATAAATAAATAAAGCTGCTCTCCTTAAAGTTAGTCTTGCTTCTGATTAATCCCTTAATCTACCTTGCCACTTATTCCCCTTTCCCTTCTCCTCTATTCCTTGTTGAACCCAACCCTGTGTCTCTATTATTCCTTCCCTTGACCAGTTCAGATAAGAGTGAGGTTCAGGTGTCACCTATTCCCCACTTCTTCCTTATTTCTAGAGATTTCTATTTGCACATCCCAATTATGTGAGAGAATTTGTCCTATCCTCTTCCTTTTCCCCTCCCCCAGTGTATTACTTTTCTTCTCACTCTTCATTCTTTTTTTAAATGGTCAAAACATAACAGAACCACTCCCAGGGTCTCTCTCTAATCATATTTCCTCTATGACCTCTAATGATTATGTAATTCTGAGGGATACATTGATTGTCATCTTCCTATATTGGAATGTAAACAGTTTATTCTTACTTAGTCTCTTATAATTGTTTGATTGTGTGTACTATTTTTGTTTCTCTTGACTCCAGTGTTGGTATTTCAAAGTTTCTACATAGCTCTGTTCATCAGGAATGCTTAGAATTTTCCTTTTTCCTTAAAAGTCTATTCTTCCTGACTCCCATCCCCACCTCCAACCTCCTAGGATTATAAATAGTTTTGATGGGTGAGTTGTTGTTGGTTGTAAGCCTATATCTTTTCCTACTTTTGTCTTCTGAAATATCGTATTATAAGTTCTCTGCTTCTTTTTAGTGGTGGCCATTAAATCCTGTATGATCCTGACTGGCCCTTCAGTACTTTCATTTTTCTTTTTTTGTATTACAATATTTTTTTCTTGGACCCAGAAACTCTGACTTTGGTTTATGACTGGGAATTCCTGGAAGTTTTCTTTATTTTTTCTTTTAGTAGGCAACTGGTTGAATCTTTCTATTTCCACTTTGCCTTTCAGTTCTAAGAGATCTGGACAGTTTTCTTTTATCATTTAAAAAAATTACATTAGGTGTTTTTGGGTGGCAGGGTGTCATGGCATTTAGTTTGTATATTCTTAAATTTTCTGTCCTAAATCATTTTTCTAGGTCAGTTTTTGCTATAAGATACTTTACATTTTCTTCTATTTTTCAGTCTTTTGAATTTGCTTTAATATTTCTTGTTATCTTGTAGAGTCATTAACTCCTATTCGATTAATTCTAATTTTCATGGAGTTTTTTTCTGGGATCATGTTTTGTACTTCTTGTTCCAAAGCTGTTAATTCTCTTTCCAAATATTTCTTCCATAGCTACAATTTCTTCAAAATCATTTTTAGCTCTTTAAAAACTTTCTGGCTTCATCTATTCCAGGAATTCTACTTGAAATTGTACCCAAGCTGCGTTTTTCTTTGAGGCTTTGCTTATAGATGTTTTGGAGAGATTATCTTTTTCTAGGTTTGTGTCTTGAGCATTACTGTCATCATGATAACTTTATGGTGAGATTATTATTATTTTTTTCTCTTGCTCATTCTTCCAGCTTGCTTCCTTGCTTCATATTTTATGTTAGAAAACATTTCTGGGGGGAATATCTGAGCTGAGGTTTTATTCTCTTATGTTTTTCTGTTGCTTTCTTGGGCTATTGAGTGTTGTGTTATTTTAGTCTTTCAGAGATAGCTCAGGCTGGGAACCCATAAACTTTCAGTGATCCCAAAGTGATTTTAGGGCAAAATCTGATTACTGCCCGCCTTATCTGAACTCTTCAAGTTCCTGACCTGGGTTTGAGTCTGCATAACAATCCTATTGCCTTGTTCCTGGTTGGAAGTTCCAGGCTAGTTGGTTACCCTCAACCTGCTTTAGTCCATCTGCTGAAATGGTTTTAACAGCTGCAATGCTGCAGCGTTTTGGAGCCACAGGTGAGAGCTGAGTGGCAAGTGGACCCCAAAGGTGGAAAGCAACCCTAACACCAGAGGTACTAGTCTTGCCTTAATATCCCATAGACTCCAAGCATTTCTAGCACTATATTGAATAGTAATGATGATAATGGACATCCTTGCTTTACCCACTGAATTAAAGGGTATGTGGTAAGGAGTGAAGTATAAGAAGACTGGACTCATCTACCATCCAAGATACCCATAAATTATATAAATACAACTACAAAAAATTCCATAAAATTCTTTATGGAGCTATCTAAATAATTGGAGTAATAGTCATTGCTCATGGGTAGACCAAGCCAATATAATAACTACTATCCAAAGTTATTTGCTTGTTCAGTGCCATACCAATCAAAATACCAAAGGATTAACTTTGTAGAGCTAGAAAATAAAATAATGAAATTCATCTGAAGGAATAAAAAGCCGAGAACCTCAAGGGAAATCATGAAAAGTGGAAAGGGAGCCTAGCGATACCAAATCTCAAACTATACTACAAAGCATTAAAATAATTTGGATTAAAAAATTGGTTGAAGAGTGGAACAGTTTAGATATGTAACACATAGAAGCTAACAAACCTAGTAGACTCATGTTTGAGAAATGCAATGGACCCCAGATCTGTAAGGAATCAACATTCGACCAAAACTGCTGGGAAAACTGGAAAGCAGTTTGGCATATATTAGGTTTAGAGCAGTAACTCATACCATGTATCAAGATAAGCTCCAAATGGACACATGACTTAGATATAAAGGTCACATAAATTAGATCAAGGAAGAAATCTTTCAGATCTATGAGTTAGGGAAGAGTTTATAACCAAAAAAGTGATGCAGGATTACAGAACATAAAATTAAGAGTTTTTGCATAAACAACACCAATGCAGCTAAGATAAGAAGGGAAACATTTAACTGATTAAAAAAAAATTGTAGCAAATTTCTCTGATAAAGTTTTCATATCCAAGATATATAAGGAAGACATTCAAATTTATGAGAATAAGAGCTATTTCCCAAATGAAAAATGGCTAAATGATATGAACAATTTTTAAAAGAAAAATCCAAATTATCAAGGCATAGGAAATCCCTGCCCCCAATCACAGAGAAATGCAGATTAAAATAGCTGAGCTTCTACCTCACACCTCTCTCCTGACTTCCACTCTCACTTCGCCAACTACCTTATTGAACAGTTCAAGTTTGATATTTAGTAGATACCACAAACTTAACATGTTCTAAACTGACCTTAACATATTTTCCCCCAAACCCCTCCTCTTTATAACTTTCCTATTACTCTTAAAGACATTTTAAGTTTTTCAGTTGTGTATGACTCTTCATGACCCCATATGGGGTTTTCTTGGCAAAGACATTAGAATGGTTTACTGTTTCCATCTCCAGCTCAATTTACAGATGAGGAACTTAGGCAAATAGGGTTAAGTGATTTATCCAGTGTCACACAGTAAGTATCTGGGGCCAGATTTGAACTTGGGAAGATGAGTTGTCCTGATTAGCACTTTATCCACTGTACTACCTAGCTGGAAATTATCATCTTCCCAATCACCAAGGCTTGACTCCTGACTCTCACTGCCCACATCCAATCAATTGCCAAATCCTATCATTTCTACCATGGTAGCATCTCTTAGATTTATCCACTTCTCTGATACTGCTACCACTCTACTATAAGACCTTATCACTTCATGCCTGGACCGTTGCAATAACCTTTTGGTTGGTCTCCCTACCTCATCTCTCCCCACACCATCCACACCATCCTCCATTCCCCTGTCAAACTGATCTTTCCAAAGCACAAATCTGATGATGTCATACTCCTCTATTCAATAAACACTAGTGTCTCTCTAGGATCTAATAGAAAATCTTCTGTCTTTTAAAGACCTTCATAATCTGTCCCCTTTAATACCTTTCCAATCTTTTTACACTTTACCCTTTATCAAATACTCTGTTATTCAATGGCTTTCTTGCTGTTTCATATACAAGACCCTCCGTTTCCTCACTCCTTGAACTTTCACTAGCTGTTCTCCATGCCTGGCCTGTGGCCTCAGGTATTAGCTAAAATCCTACCTTCTATAAGAAGCCTCTCCCAATCTCCCTAAATCCTAGTGCCTTCCCCTTGAAATTAACTCCAATTCTGTATGCATTTTGTTTGTATATAGTTGTTTGTTATTTATCTCGTTGGACTGTGAGCTTTTTGGAGAGGTGGGACTGTATTTTTTTTCCCCCCGCACACCTCTCCCCCATACCTCCCCCTTTTTTCTTCTAGTGCTTCAAACAATGCCTGGCACATAGTAGATGCTTAATAAATGCTTATTGGCTTGTTGGCTTGGTTTGGTACCCATCAGATTGCTAAAGTTGTAGAAAAAAAAAGGAATGATTAAAACATGGATCATATTATTTCTCAGACT